CCCCCCCCCCCCACACACACACACAACTCTATCCTGGGAAAAATTACAGCTAGGGTCCTCACTTATTGAAAGTATAGCAAGTAAATCCCCAATCTAATTTTTTAGCAGCCTCAATCTCCAAACCTTTCATTTTTGTAATATTTGGATCCTCAGCAGATTATTTTTACGTATAATGTCAACTTTCCGTTAGAAATAATACTTTATCCTTATGTTTGATTATACAAATAATAACTAAATAATGAAAATAGGAATTAAAACAGAAAAAAAAACCAAACCCATCCAAAATAGTGGGGGCAACTTGAAAGGTTGGTGGATTTTTTATTTTTTAATTAAAAAATAAGTTAAATAATCTTTTTAGTAGAAATTTGAGGTTTAATCAAGGATAAGGTATAACTGTCCATTATGTACTCAAATGCAAATAAAGTAAATGGGACTGCACCCACCCAAATAAATAGATTAAGGATCTACTCGTTATATTTCTAATAGAATGAGGACTCTAAAACACCTCACACTTCAAATCTCCATACACTCACTACTGTGTGTTTGAGGGGTTGGCAGAGGCTATATAATCCCCTAGTTTCATCTATAGCAACATAGGGTATGAATAGATCAGAGTCATCCACTTAGTGATATCACGTGGAGGCATGTGCTTACTGAGAGTACCAAAAGAGTAGTTTGGACTTATGTTGAAAGATCCAAATTCTGTAACATATAAGTCAACTCAACAGTCCTTTGAGTTGTTGCCATAGCAATCAATGATTACTTGAGGATAGAAAACTCGAGCAAGATATGTCTGTTTGATTAGGGTTTGACAAAACTTTCAACTCGAATTGGACCGAACTGAATCGAATTGAGCGGGTCTTCTTAAGTTAAATATGCGAATGGGTATCTGAATAAAAAAATCGAATTGAGCGGTTCTCGGTTCTAGATCAAGAACCGAAAAATCGAATAAGAGTCGAATCTCCATAATTTAATTAATTTTTTTATCTTAAATAAGTCAAATTATTTTATTTTTTAAAATAGATTGCTAACTAATTAATTCAGTCCAAACTCAAAATATAATTTTACAATTTTTAATTTCCAGCCACCCAATTTAATCAAATTGACTTAAGTTTTACACAAATATCTTATTCTACCGTTCTATTATTGTGAATTAGACATCTTCCTCTGTTTTTTTTTAACATTCAAATCTATGAAGAACACAACAAATAAAGGTGCAAAAAATATAACAAGATTGGACTACATTATTTTGTAAGAGTTAAGATTGAATATGCCATAATCGAATTAATGTAGCGTTGTTGTAATATAAAAAAAATTAATTATTGTACGGAACCCTGGAATCGAATAGAATCGAACCGAATGAAATCGAACCTGAACAGTTACATAATGAAATTTAAACCCGACAATTCCATTTACTAAATATCCGAAAATTTCGAGTTTGGTTCGAATCAAATCAAACCATGTCCAGTCTTACGTTTGACAGAGCTTCTTTTATTTTTATAGCTTTTTAAGATAGTTACTTTAGGTAAGCTTACTCTAAAATAGGCTTATGATTTATATACAGTGCAGTCCGCAATTTCATGAACTGATGAACTCTTCATCATTATAAAAATCCTCCTGATTCATTATAATAAAATGGAGTATTGGTAATGCATACTGATTAAGAAAAAAAATGGTAAACACTAAGACCCTGTTTGATGGCCTTGATTTTCCATGGAAAATGGAAAATATTTTTCATTTTCCCACTTTTTAGCTGTTTGATGACAATAATTTTCCATGGAAAATTTTTTCCCCCCCAACCCCCCACGCACCTTATTTCCTTGTTTTGGATGAAGAAAAAATTTTCCATGAGGCTGTTGCAATTTTTTTTTTTTTTTTTTGCAATGGAAACAAATGTCATAATCAAGTGTAAAAAAATTTTTCGCTTTAATTGACAATTTTCATGTAAAACAAAATCAAACGAATACTAAATTTTGATGGAAAAAAATGATTTTTTAGGAAACAATATTTTTTCCTTTTTTTTTTCCTTTTTACTTTTTGGTAATGGAAACAAATTTTATAACCAATTGTGGAAAAAATTATCACTTTAATAGACACTTTCCATGTAAAATAAAGCCAAACGAATAGAAAATTTAAAAATTTTTCGAGTGAAAAATTATATCAATCAAACACACTTAATTACCAATTCCCTGCAAAATATTTTCTAGGCAATTATTTTCCCTGTAAATCATTTTCTTTCCACCCATTTTCCACCCTTGCAATCAAACGCACCCTAAGGAAAAATGAATAACAATTTGGGTAGTTGAGACATTATTTTGCATATACTTAAAGAGACTCGTGATACAATCTTAATCGAACAAGTTAAAGACAAATCATAGATTAACATTAACGTGATATCTTGTGGTGGTTTAATGTCTTAACTATTTTAGGCCTTTTAACAAAATCGGGAAATTTTATTATTAGCCTCCGTTTGGCACCCATTAATTTCTCTTCCTCATTTCCATTCTCATTCTCATTCTTCATTTCAACCACACATTCTCCATTTAAAAATTACTACACACACATAAGAATGGATCAGTTCACGTCCACAACTGGTTGATTCACATAAGAAGACCCATTCAGTTTAGAGATGACAATAAGGTGGATAGAATTGCTCGTCCAAGAATTTTCGGAGAGGACTAGACAAAATTAAGCCCTTGTTTGATTTTTATATTTTTCAAAATATATTTAGAGTGCGTTTGGTACACATTCTTTTAAAAGAATGTATTACTGAATAGTAAAATGATGGAAAATGTGGTTAAAAATGAAGAAAAAGTTATTGATGTGATTGAAAATATTATTTTATTGAAGAATGTGTGGTTGAAAATGAGTAGAAGAATGAGAATGAAAAAAATAATGTGTACCAAACAGGGCCTTAGTCGTGGCTTCTTTCTAACCACACATTATTCAATAAAATAATATTATATGCAAATTCAAAACTTTTACTTATTTTTTAATCACACATTCTCCATCATTCTACTATTCCAAAAAAATCATGCTACAAGTACATTAACTTTGACATTGTGTCACATGTCGGAGTATGATTGAATAATTTTTAAACACCACACACTTTCCCACCCATTTGCATTTAAATTCACGTGGAGTGTCAAACTTCATGTGATCCATGGAATGTTCAACAAGCCAAATTCATTTCAAAATGCATTTTAGACACGAAAAAAAAAAAAGGCTCGATTTATCTTCCATACGCCAGTACAACAGTGGATTTGAAATAAAATTGACATGAAAATTCAGTTGTATATCTATTTTTGAATTTCTATCGCAACATATTCAACTCTTATAAATCTTTACTTTTTATTCCATTTTCAAATTCACGCAGAGAAATGGGAGAGTGGGAGTAGTCATAGTTAAAAGCCATTTGATTCGGCAGAAGCACATTCCTCGTCAGATCCGTCCTTCCTGTTGGGTCCCAGATATATCCCCGGCTTCCAACGGTGCAGCCCTTATTCTCAGTTTATCAGACCTATAGAGAGAGAGGTAGGATTTAATGGGATTTACATTTACAGGTTTTGCTATTTGTACCCCTCCCTGGTGTACACATAGCAAAATTAGAAGGACAGAAGAAGGGTGGGTGGACTCAAAAACAAGAAAGAGAGAGAGAGAGAAAAAAAAAAAGAGGATTTTTTTGTTGGTCTTTACTATTATGAATACTGGAGTCTGAAAACCCTTTTAGATTTTCTGCAAAATAAGGTAATACTTATATTTTACCATTTTTCATTTTTTTTCTGTCACTTTTTGGAAACTGGGCTCTCTCTCTAAAATTTTTAAAAAACTTTCAAACTTCACTTCCCAGCATTGAAAAATTCTTTTTTTCATCGTCATTTGTCAATTTTCCTTGTATTTATGTAATGTTCATGACCAAGCACTCCCATATATATATACACCTGTTTATATATTATATATATTAGTGTTTGAATAATTTTTTTTTTTTGACAGGTTCACGAAGTTTGTGGGCACTACTCAGAATTTGGTTTGCTTTGAAAATTAGGATTTTGGGTCGATATCAATTGATTTGAAGAAGTGTGTTTTACTGGATTTGCAGAGAAAACGATTGAATCTTTGTATTAAAATCTTGGTTTTGATTAAGTAAGTTCTTCAGATCTGATTATTGTCAAAACTGAGATTTATTCTATTGAATTGGAATTGTGTCATTTTTATTGAAGAAAGTTTTTATAATTTTTAAGTTTATTTTAGATCTAAAATTCTTTTGAGTTTCAAGATTTTTAACGCTCCCATTAGATCTTTTGAAATATATGTAAGAATTAAGCATCTTTCTTATTGTATGATTGTAAGTTCTAATGGTTTAAGATGAATCATAGAGGAATAAAACTTGAAATTTTCATTTTAAGTTCTTTATTCAGACAGATAATTTTCTCTTTTAGCTCTTGTAAGTTGTGACCATGTGTTCTCTGCATATGTAGGATACGCATTTGTTGGTTGATTATATAGTTCGTCCACGTTAAATCTGCAGTCTTTTGATATGTCACTGAATTTTGTTGCGGCTTATTGATTTCCAAAATTATACTGTTCTGGATTTTTCACATTATTCCTTCACATTTTCTTCATGTAAGAGTTTGATTTTATTCTTTGTTGGTCTGGCACTGCAATGCTGCAACTTTAACCCTTGCGAGTTAAAATGTATTCAACAGCATAATAGGCAAGAGTTTTAACTTCTTTTTCTAATTAAATACTGCCAAGTTCTAATCAAATTATGAATAATTTCAGTTACATTTTTGTTCAAATAATGTACTCTTTTTTCGCCATTTCAGATGTGCTTTCATTTTCAAGAATGCATGGGATTTTAGCTTGCGTGGAATTGAGTGAGGGTAAATATGGATCTTCAGGCAGATAGTTCTAGATTCGGATCTTTACCCAATACGACATTGAGGAATCTCTCGTCGTCCTCTTCCGCATTCTTTTCGGCAAATCAATCGCCCTTCTTCTCCCCAAGATCGCCAACGGGTCGGTTATCCACACATTCGAGCAATCCATGTAATGGTGCCAGTACAAATACGTTATTGGATACTCCAGAAGTGGAATCTTTAACGAACATTAGATTTGCCTCAAATGATATTTGTCCTGCTCCAGCATCTTGTACCTCGAATGATTTCCAAAAGGTCGATCACGTTTCCACTTTAACAGGCATATCAAATAGTCCTCTATCGAGCTATAGTATTGGTCATGATGGTTTCACGAGAAATAGGTGTAAAAGCAAAAAGATTGGGAGATTGGTTGAAACTATGGTTCCTCCAACTTCTTTTTCTTCTAATAGACTCAGGAGTTGTGATGTGTACATAGGTTTCCATGGCCGCAAACCTTTATTACTTAAGTTTACTAATTGGCTTCGGACAGAGTTAGAAGTTCAAGGGCTGAGTTGTTTTGTATCAGACAGAGCTCGGTGTAGGAATTCGCGAAAGCATAGCATCGTTGAGAAGGCAATGGATGGTAGTACATTTGGGGTTGTTATCTTGACAAGAAAGTCATTCAGAAATTCATACACCATTGAAGAGCTCCGGTTCTTCTCGAGCAAGAAGAATTTGGTTCCTGTGTACTTTGATTTGGGTCCAGATGACTGCCTTGTGAGAGATATAATTGAGAAAAGGGGAGAGCTGTGGGAAAAACAAGGTGGTGAGCTCTGGCTGCTATATGGAGGACTCGAGAAAGAATGGAAAGACGCTGTTAGCACCCTTTCTCGTGTTGATGAGTGGAAACTAGAGGCTCACGAGGGCAAATGGAGGGACTGCATATTGAGAGCTGTCACTCTTTTGGCATTCAGGTTAGGAAGGAGAAGCATTGTAGATAGAGTAACTAAGTGGAGAGAGAAGGCCGAGCAAGAGGAGTTTCCTTTCCCTCGAAATGAGAATTTTATTGGTCGAAAAAAGGAGTTATCTGAGCTGGAATTCATGCTTTTTGGTGATGTCAGCGGAAATGCAGAGAGAGACTATTTTGAACTCAAGGCAAAACCGAAACGAAAGAACTTGACAATTGGTTGGAGTAGGAGTAATTTGGTAGATGAAAAGCAAAGGGACCGATACAGTGCAAGTAGCAAGAGAAAGGGGAAAGAACCGATTGTATGGAAGGAATCAGAAAAGGAAATTGAAATGCAAAGCACTGAATTTTCTCAACATACGCCAAAGCTAAAGAGTACTGGAAAGAACGGAAGGAGATTGAGATCGACTGAAGTTGTGTACGGCAAGGGAATTGCTTGTGTGTCAGGAGACTCAGGCATTGGGAAGACAGAGCTACTTCTTGAGTTTGCTTACAGATTCCATCAGAGGTATAAAATGGTTCTATGGATAGGAGGGGAAAGCAGATACATTCGGCAGAATTATTTAAACCTTTGGTCATTCTTAGAAGTCGATGTAGGGGTGGAGAATTGCATGGAAAAAAGCCGGACAAAGAGCTTTGAAGAACAAGAAGAGGCAGCAATAGCCAGAGTTCGAAAGGAGCTCATGCGAAACATTCCTTTTCTGTTGGTGATTGATAATTTGGAGAGTGAGAAGGACTGGTGGGACCACAAACTCATAATGGATCTACTTCCCCGTTTTGGTGGGGAAACCCACGTTATTATATCCACACGACTCTCTCGTGTAATGAACCTCGAGCCCTTGAGACTTTCTTACCTGTCAGAGGTAGAGGCAATGTCTTTAATGCAGGGAAGCATTAAGGATCTCTCGATTACAGAAATAGATGCGCTACGGGCTATCGAGGAAAAACTTGGACGGTTAACTCTTGGTCTCGCTATTGTGGGAGCATTACTATCCGAGCTTCCTATAAACCCGAGCAGGCTATTGGATACCATAAATCGGATATCGACATCGTCAAGGGATGCGACGAGGAATGGTAGGGAAAATCACTCACTACGGAGGAATAATTTCCTTTTGCAACTCTTTGAGGTCTGTTTTTCCATATTGGACCATGCGGATGGACCAAGGAGTTTGGCGACTAGAATGGTCCTCGCAAGCGGTTGGTTTGCACCTGCGCCGATTCCGGTATATATTCTAGCACTGGCAGCTCATAAAATACCCGAGAAACGCCAACATCGCCGGCTATGGAAAAAGATTCTGCATTCCTTAACTTGTGGCTTCACATCATCATATGCTCGAAGATCAGAAGCAGAAGCATCTTCATTATTAATAAGATTTAATATCGGACGAACTTGTATGAAGGAAGGTTACGTTCAATTCAACCAGCTTGTCAAACTTTACGCAAGGAAGAGAGGAACCACTGGAGTTGCAGAAGCCATGGCACGTGCTGTCATTAGTCGAGGATCAATATCCCATCACTCTGAACACATATGGGCTGCATGTTTCCTGCTTTTCGGATTCGGAAAAGACTCTGTAGTAGTCGAGATTAAGGTGTCGGAATTATTGTTTCTTGTGAAAGAAGTGATCTTGCCACTTGGCATTAGGACATTTGTTACCTTCTCAAGATGCAGTGGGGCTTTAGAACTCCTTCGACTATGTACAGATGCATTAGAAGCTGCAGATCAAGCTTTTGTCACCCCAGTTGAGAAATGGTTCGATAAGTCACTTTGTTGGAAACCTATCCAAACCAGTGCCCAACTGAATCCCTACCTTTGGCAGGACCTTGCATTGGCACGAGCTACCGTGTTGGAAGTCCGTGCGAAGCTAATGCTAAGAGGGGGGCAGTTTGATATAGGAGATGATCTCATTAGGAAGGCTATTTTTATTAGAACTTCAATATGCGGTGAAAATCATCCCGACGCGATATCTGCTCGGGAAACGCTTAGTAAACTTACAAGACTCCTTGCTAATGTTCAAAGTCATACATCACCATAGATTTTAAATTTCTTGTGAACAGTAAATTTTCACAGAATTTTACAGATGCTTTATCTATTTCAGAATTTATTTTACTTGCAGAGGTCACTTGATTTATGGTCCATTCAATTCATTGCTTCCTATGTCTGAACCTGACACACTAACGATTAAAGATTTCTTGGCTTGGATTGTTATTTTCTTCATTAGAACAAAGGAACAAGTTTTGTGCATATTACGATTGACATTTTAACTTATTATTAAGGTACATATGAATGGGTTGAATGATAATTTCTGCATTCGATAAGAATCACAACAAGAAGTCACATGTCTTTACTGCTTTTGGCTCTAGGAGTTTGAATTTCATTTATGAACTTTTTCTTCAGAGAAAAGTTTAAATTTTTATAGTACATAAGCTTTTATTTTTGAATGCTACGATCCACTGTCTATCATATGAAACTGCTGGTTGGAATGATGACATATTCTTTAGAGATAATGTATCCCTTTAGCCCCTGCCTGGGAGAGCTTTTGCTTCAAATTAAATTTGATTTTTTTACCGTTGGAAGCACAGCTTAGCGGCACTTTTTGACTTCTCCCTCACATTGCTGGGACCCAGGCTGCCTTCCAACGGTCAAATAATCATTTTTTTTTTTGCCCAAATAATCGACTCCAGACAAGCCCTTAGTACTTCCTCTTGTGTGTACTAATCGAGACGATGATAATTGTTATCATTGTGAAGGAATGGATTTACCATTGGAACAATCTGTCATAGAATGCATAAAATGTGGAGCTGATGTCCATGGCAGCACATTTTCAATTTTGCACAAAACCAGTGTTTGCGTGAAACCCGCAAGCATACGGAATCGTTGTACAAATAATAAGATTTGTGAGTTAAGATATTTAATACGTGAATATTTATATTGGAATTGTGAATACTCCTATTGCCATTTAATTCAAGTATTATCTTGAAAGTTAGTAAATTCATGCATTCAAGACAATCGATAATCCACTGTTATTCAATATTCTTTTCCAAAATATATTAAATATATGTTTAACACGACCCGATCTTATTTCTAATCCGAATTCATATGAAAAACTTGCATTAAATCACAGAATTTATCACACATGATTGCACATGTCATAAATATTATTCCCAATACCTATTGTCTATATGTTGATTTTACCGCGTTCTAGACTTATTATGAGTATTCCTACACTACAAAAAGTAACTTACTATCTAATTGGTGATCATGCAATCAAATAGTTCAATAAAAATGCAAAACCAATCAAGAAAAATCAAGAAATACTAAGCTAATTGTCTTGAATTAAAATAAACAAACAAAAGGTTCATCATTCATCCAATACAATGAAAAACTTAGTCTAACATTCTTACAATTAAATTACACAAGAATAATTGGAAAAAAATAACTCGAAAATGAGAAAGATGGAAGAAGTAGGAAGAATTCATGTTCCTGGCTCAAATTTTGAAACTGGGTTATGAATCTTCAAAATTCTTGTATGATTTGCCTTGAATTGATATATAGACTTGTTTCTCGCCTCCAAAATATGTAGAATATGATGAAATTTAGGTCGAAAGGAGGTCTCTCATGTTCTAGTCGAGTTTGGTATTTAAAAGATGCCAAAAAGATTGCATTGAATTGTTACCAAAACAAAAGAAGGAAAGTGTGATTTTTTCCCGTTTAGCCTTAAGGCGTGCGCCTAGTGCAACCTAGGGGGCGCCCCTTGGGGGTTTGGGCAGCCTCATGTGAGGCACTTTTGGTCTAGGGCGCGCGCCTGCCTAATTTTCGGCAGCTGAACAGCTCTCAATATTTTTATCATAACTTTCTCTCTCAATATCCGATTGAGGTGATTCAAAATGCATTGGAAAGCTAACATGGAGAGCTACAATTTTTTTAGAAGTATAATATTTCCAATTCGAAAGTTTGCTATGCCAAAATTGGGTCTCAATGTGAGCCTAAAAATTCGAAACATAACTTTTTCGGTTGGAAGTTGATATGTGATAATACTTGGACTATATTTCATTCATTTGGCTTATTTCCTCATCCAATTGATGCCTAACACTCTCAAATCTTCATCGTGAGGTTCGACGTAACTTTTGATTATTTACATTTCAGTCTCTGAACTTTGTATTTGATACAATTGAGCCATTTTTCGCTATCTTTGCATTCTTTTCTCTAATTCTTCATCAAATCTTGAGTTTTACCTACAAAATGAAATATAACACAAGTTAGGTAGTATTTTATCCAAAAAATAATAAAATATCATCATTTAGGACCTCAAATAAGTGTAGAAACTACACTTATCAACCAGTTTTCTACTTAAAAGTAGTCCTCAGATGATGTGTTTGCTAGGAGGGTCATCTTCCTAAAAGTTATTGCTTTGGTACCTTTTTTTTTTTTTTTTTTAAAATCACAGATATATTCATTATACCTTACACTTAAAACCGACTGGTAGGTAGGAACTCAAAAGGTTGTCACAAAGCACGATATAATTAGTATAATTATATGTTATACCATTTCAAGGAATAGTCATGCGCGAGTTTTTTATATTTTATTGAATGTAATTAGAGTAATCAGTACATGCTGATACGTGCATGAGTAGAAGTACGAGTATATTTTTCATCGTTCTGTTTGATTCATCTATCAAAATATAACCGAAGGTCGATATACATGGATGACAACCTACAACGTTATTTTGGGGCTGTTGCTTTGGTCATACAGTCTTTTGTGCTGCATTTTGGAGTCCTGAATTGTATATATATAACTTGTGAAATAGTGTGGCATACTTTTTTAACCTCAAAATAAATATGTTTTAATAGGATTATACAGTCTTTTGCCTCCATATACTATGTGAACATTACAGGTAATCATGTAAATATGTAAAGATTTTATTGCAAAAATGCTTATCCCATTTTATTATTTCAAAATATAAACACGCAAAAAAAAAAAAAGCGCGCTGATATCTCTAGGTCGAGTAGGCAATATCCATTTTTATAAATGTGTGTAAAATTGTCTATAAAAAGGGGAGTGTGACAGAGAGACTTGACTACCAAAGAAAGTTTAAAATCATAATCTATCTAAGAAACCTTCTGCTCCAAATGCATTTTAATATCAATACTACCAAATATTTGATCTTTTTATGTCACAAAATTGATGGTGCAACAAACCAATATTAGATGTTCTAAGCACATTCAATTAAATCCCAACAGGCGCAACAAATAACACCACTAAGCATGAGCGCGTGCATGTACGCTTGTGAGAGAGATGGCTACAGACGAAGAAGTGTTTTATAAGAGCAAAGGATTATGTTACATGAGAAGAAAACAAAAAAAAAATCAAGTTTGATGACCTCTCTGCATTTGATTATCTATGTATATTACACAACTAAAGTCAAAACTCCATAGTCCGACACTTGTAAAACCATTTTCCCGTATGTGATAGCTTGTTCTCGGAGAAAGCTTTATGCATCGTCCGGGATTCGGTAAGACAGCCTCTTCCACCACCAAATCGCCACTTCTTCCATATCTCTATTATTTGTTATTGGTGAAGCGCGTCATTTTCAGTAGTAGTGAATGCTGCATCTGTAAATATAGAAACGTAAAGTTAATGTATAAACTACAGAAAAAGCACGAACCTCAGTCATATACTACGTCAAATCAGCAGATTCCTTATTCTGTGTGCATGTAAGTAACTTCCAGCCAGGAACCGTAACTGCTTGACACCCAAAACTATCACCTACTAATCCAAACCCCTTTTCGTCATCATCACTGTTAATATCATTTGGAGTTGCCCGGTTTTGGTAGCTTCTACGCTGGAGGAGGAAAACATTGAAGTAGTAGCTAACCAATTTCTCCCAAGTCTTGGTAGGTAAATATCGGGAAGCATTGTTCCAGAACTTATTTCGGACTGCAGCATGTGCACTTTTTGCATCCTTGAATCTCTTTTCCTCTTCTTTCGTCCATGAAAGTGAAACCTCCTCCCCCATGCGATCAAATCGCCAATGGTAGAACAGCGAACCGAGTTCGCGCTTTAATTTATACCTCTTCTCAGCAATGTGAAACCTAACACATTCGACAGAATATGGAAATCGACAATAACATTTATGCTGTCTTCCCATCGTAACAGGATCTGATTCAGCTATGGATTTGTTTCTACCATCTTCTGGGGGCCACATTTTTGTGCCTAACCACTTAGAATCATTCTTGAGGGGCAAACCAGTCCATTCAGGGACTCTGGCTTGAAAGAGAGGGCCAATAGAAACTTGCTTCTCTGCTAGCACGCCACAGGAATTGGGACCTTGTGAATCTAGAGTCGGTATCTCATTAGAGACCACAGCAGATTCTTTTGGACTATTCCTAACTCCTGCCTTTTGACTGTTAACAACTTTACTTTTAGTGACTGTGGATGCATTGCAACATGAACACAAGATAGATTTTGTCAAAGAAGCTCTTTTACTGCATCTTACTTTCTCTGAAGCTTGGCGGTCGAGATTGTCTTCATCGTACATAGAAGGATGCATTCTAAGCTTCTTCTGTTGGCCCTGCTGAAGTCGTGATAAGTTCAATAATAACTTTAATGAAGATGCCTATCAAATAATTCATGAATCAAATGGGATTAGATGATAAAAGAATAAAAAACTACATGCATCAGAAAGATAATTCGAAAAACAGTTTACAATAACTTTAGATTTTTAGCTTCCTAACAGCTGCACAAAATTATATTATATAACTTATCGCTAAAAAGAGAAATTCCAATTTCATGGGAATATTGAGTTCGTGACTGTAAAATTTTTAATCGTGATTTGAAGAGTTGTCTTCCTTTTTGCTGAAGAACTTGGTCACTGTTAAAAATGTTTCCGTCTTTGTCAAGATTAGTGGAGAAACAAATATAATCTTCATGTAATGGTTCAAAAACTCCTGCAAACCACAACAATAACTAATTTGCTTGTGTAAAAAGGGATAGGTGCACTTTAATGTCACTTAGTTAATTGTCTCATTATGGCAT